TTTTATTGAGAATGGGCGATATATAATATTAGCATTAGACATAATAGGCACTCAATAAATCTTTTTAAAATACTATCAAATGTATTCTTTTAAAATCAGGAGTTACTGTAATTATCTCCCGCATTCAATAATTGTGGTTGAAAGTTACACGCTTTACCATAATATTTAACAAAAAGTTTTATTGAACAACTTTTTAAGAAAAAAATGTTCGTATTTTTAAGTTATTGAGTACTTTTGAAATAATTGGATTGTCACACGTTGACGTCAATTCCATGAGTGACGTTAACGGGAGACATAAACATGGTAGAGTCAGTTAATAATTTCTTTGTAATTTATGTGTAAAGAAAGGCATGTAGACATTCTAGACGCCATAGCAAAGTCATAAACAAGATATCAATTTGACGTCAATGTTTTTTTGATGTTTACAAATGTTTTATTTGTCATTTGTACAAATTGTTTTTGAAAATATCAGTTACAACTTTAGATTTTCATTTTGCCATTTTTGTGTCGCCTCTACGGAGTAGTGGCGACATATAGGGATCACTTCTCCGTCGTCTGTCTGTCCGTCTGTCTGTCTGTCTGTCCATCTGTCTGTCCGTCTGTCTGTCACAAAACTTGTCCGGACTACCCCTCATAAACTACTGGTGCAATTTCATCCAAACTTTACAGGAATGATCAGTACCAAGTCTAGTTGTGCATATTGTTAGCATTTTCCGCTTCAATGATTTTTGTCAGAGTTATGGCCCTTTAATAATTTTTAATTTTAAAGTTTGTCCGGACTACTTCTCTTATACCACTAATGCAATTTCAATGAAACTTTACAGGATTGATCTGTAGCTCAAGTCCTTGCGCATATTGCAAGGGTTTTCCGGTTGAATGATTTTTGGCCGAGTTATGGCCCTTTGATAAAAAGGTGTTTTTTTCTGTGTGTTGCCAGATACACAATAGCTTGTCCGGACTACTCCTCATAAACTACTGGTGCAATTTCATCCAAACTTTACAGGAATGATCAGTACCAAGTCTAGTTGTGCATATTGTCAGCATTTTCCGGTTCAATGATTTTTGTCAGAGTTATTGCCCTTTAATAATTTTTATTTTTAAAGTTTGTCCGGACTAGTTCTCTTATACCACTTATGCAATTTCAATGAAACTTTACAGGATTGATCTGTAGCTCAAGTCCTTGCGCATATTGCACGGGTTTTCCGGTTGAATGATTTTTGGCTGAGTTATGGCCCTTTGATAAAAAGGTGTTTTTTCTGTGTGTTGCCAGATACACAAAAGCTTGTCCGGACTACTCCTCATAAACTACTGGTGCAATTTCATCCAAACTTTACAGGAATGATCAGTACCAAGTCTAGTTGTGCATATTGTCAGCATTTTCCGGTTCAATGATTTTTGTCAGAGTTATTGCCCTTTAATAATTTTTATTTTTAAAGTTTGTCCGGACTAGTTCTCTTATACCACTTATGCAATTTCAATGAAACTTTACAGGATTGATCTGTAGCTCAAGTCCTTGCGCATATTGCACGGGTTTTCCGGTTGAATGATTTTTGGCTGAGTTATGGCCCTTTGATAAAAAGGTGTTTTTTTCTGTGTGTTGCCAGATACACAAAAGCTTGTCCGGACTACTCCTCATAAGCTACTGGTGCAATTTTATCCAAACTTTACATGATTGATCAGTACTTAGTCTAGTAGTGCACTTTCCGTCTGTCTGTCCGTCTGTCACAAAATTTGTCCCAACATGAAATTGGCCATTATGAGGCGACACATGTGATTACTGATCGCTCTTGTCTATATGATATGTGGTCCGATGCGTTACACAAATATATAATTTTGACAGTAATGAAAATGAAAGGCCTCGCCTTTTCTATATTCAGGGATATCAACTTTAAATCATTATTATTAAAGTGACTTTGTAATTCATTAATAAATGAGCTCCACTGAGATCAAAAGCGTAAAAAACCATAAAATTTGAAATTGTAACATAAATCAGATGAAAAAGAAATTAAAGGAAGATAAATAAATATGCTCAAACTTAAATTAGATATCGATTTTTAGCTCGACAATTCGATAAGAATAAGTAGAGCTATTGCAGTCACCCGAGCGTCGGCGTAACCACTTATGTTAAAGTTTTTGTAATAGTTCAAATATTTTCAACGTTCATAGACATATGGCTTTGAAACTTTGCACACTTGTTTACCATCATGACTCCAACCTGTAAACAGGAGGAGGTAACTCTATCAAGCATTTTGACAGAATTATGCCCCTTTTTCGACTTAGAATTTACGTTAAAGTTTTTGTAATAGTTCAAATATTTTCAAAGTCCATTGACATATGGCTTTGAAACTTTGCACACTTGTTCAACATTATGATCCCAACCTGTAAACAGGAGGAGGTAACTCTATCAAGCATTTTGACAGAATTATGCCCCTTTTTCGACTTAGAATTTACGTTAAAGTTTTTGTAATAGTTCAAATATTTTCAAAGTCCATTGACATATGGTTTTGAAACTTTGGACACTTGTTCACCATCATGACCCCAACCTGGAAACAGGTGGAGGTAACTCTATCAAGCATTTTGACAGAATTATGCCCCTTTTTCGACTTAGAATGATCCCAACCTGTAAACAGGAGGAGGTAACTCTATCAAGCATTTTGACAGAATTATGCCCCTTTTTCGACTTAGAATTTACGTTAAAGTTTTTGTAATAGTTCAAATATTTTCAAAGTCCATTGACATATGGTTTTGAAACTTTGGACACTTGTTCACCATCATGACCCCAACCTGTAAACAGGAGGAGGTAACTCTATCAAGCATTTTTTTTACTATCAAGCACTAAGAATAGTCGAGCGTTGCTTTCCTACCGACAGCTCTTGTTTTGTTGTGCGATTCTATGCCGATTTGAGCGATAAGCATTGCAACACGTTTCATTTTTGGGCCATTTTGCTTCATCAAATTTGGTATTCTGGAAAAAAGGGATGAGAGAATGATGTGAAATATTAGTCCAGATCTTGATAAAATGATACACAAAGCTCGGTAAAATATTCCAGTCATTTTATGTCATAAATCAATTATAGTTGAGCCCCGTTAAATGTAAAGATGTGGAAAATACTATTCGCATGCTTTATTATGCCCCCCTTTGAAGAAGAGGGGGTAAATTGTTTTGCTAATGTCGGTCTGTCTGTCTGTCCGTCGGTCTGTCCGTCGGTAGACCACATGGTTTCCGCTGATTATCTTGAAAAGTATTTATCACAAAGTCTTCATATTTCACATAGTGATTGGTCATAACTAGTAGATGACCCCTATTGATTTTGGGGTCACTAAGTCAAGGTCACAGGGGCCTTAAATGTCAAAAGGGTTTCCGCTGATTATCTTGAAAAGTATTCATCACAAAGTCTTCATATTTCACCTAGTTATTGGTCATAAGTAGTAGATGACCTCTAACGATTTAGGGGTCATTACGTCAAAGGTCAATGTCACATGGGCCTTAAATTTCAAAATGGTTTCTGTTGATTTTTCCATAATTGAACACTTCCATGTACCCATTTTTGGCAAGTTTCTGTAATAAAATTACCAATTATGTGAGTCAATTGCTAGAAAGGGGGGTATATGTGTCGTTCGACATTCTTGTTTTAGAAGGTTGGTTAACAAAATATCAGTTCATAATTTAAGTTTGTTTGTTTGTTTGATTGGGGATTTATGTCACATCGACACAGTATAGGTCATATCGCGACGTTCCAGCTTTACTGGTGGCCCTCCGTGCATTATTTCGGGCACGAACGGGCACCTGAGTAGAACCACCGACGTTCCGTCAGCTAACTGGATAGCTTCCTCACATGAAAGAATCCAAGTCCCTGTCTGGATTCGAACCCACAGCGGTGAGGGGCAAGTGGTTTGAAGTCAACGACCTTAACCACTCGGCCAGGGACGCCCCACATAATTTAAGTAATAAATATGTAATAACAAGGCTGCCGATTTTCGCGGATTCGTGGAAATCGGTGGATTTCGTGAGCTCCTGGATCATTTTTGAGATCGATGTAAATTCGACAAAGACAATAAATTCATTCGTCATATTTTATACAGTACCCAAAAACCGGCACGCTTCGGCTTTTATCGTTATGCTAGCCACCTATGGTACGTCTGTAAGCGCTTTTCTCATTGGTCAAATCGAGTCTTTTACGGCATTCTATTTTAGAATAACCAATCAAATTACAGTTTACATTGTCGCTCTTGTCTGTTGTCAAAATGCGTCAAAATGTCGGATATTTGTTTTCAGGGCTGATGAAAACCTGAAGTCCAACTAAAGTTTCTCTGAATGGCTTTAAAGGCAACCAAGGAAGTCAAATTTAGAGTCCAGGAAATTGATTTTAGGGCATACCAAATCATCAGAATCCAAGAGCTTCCAGGGGCTTCGTCCCCTGGGCCCCTACCAGGGCTCTGCCCTGGGGCCTCAAAGGGGGCTTGCGCAGCCCGCTTGCGCAGCCCGCTTGACCCCCGCGTATTTTCCTCTGATTTTGCAATTTCCTGTTGGCAGCCCTGTTATAACCGACTTTTTGTTTAAGAAATGATATATCCCAAACAGTTATTTTATCACTCAATAACATCACTGTTCGGAGTTTGGATGCGACAAATTATATCACGAGGGCTTAGCCCCCGAGTGATATAATGATGCGCATCCGAACGACAAACAGTGTTGTTATAAAGCGATAAAATCAAATTTGGATATATTATTTCGATTCTAACACAACATCAACAAATAAATGCTGCCGTACCTGATATTAAGATAAATTGCGCCTGATTTGATTCCGTACTTATTTTCATATATTTACGTTATATGATTGTATAATTATTACATCACATATCTAAATATAGAACGTCAACTGTTACTTTATTGCATAATAACACACACTTTCGGTTATTCTATATTCAATAGTGAAAAATGCGGGTCGTGTTAGAATTTCCAGTATTCACACACATGTTGTTATATTTATTTCATACAGGATTGTAAAATGGCTGAAGGAGGTGGAACACAGTTATTGAAAGATGGTTCTGATGCTGACTTTGATCTCACATGCACACCTTGTGGAGAAGACAATATAAGAGAAGAGGCTATCAAATATTGTCCTGAATGCCAGGAGTACCTTTGTGTCACTTGTAATCAGCATCATGGTCGGCTAAAAGCTACAAAGAGGCATGTAGTTGTTGATAAGGATGCTGCCAAACAATGCTTAGTTGTTGCCAAGGCCAAATGCCATTACCACCCAGATCGTGACATTGAAATGTACTGCAAAACACATGATATGGTTTATTGTGTTATGTGCATTGCTACAGAACATAGGTATAGTTTCATATTAGACATTTAAAAAAAAAAAAAAAAACTACAAAAACAGGTATAATCCAACCAACCTTAGAAAATCAGAAATCAAAAAACGTGAAAACCCCGGGCACCAAGAAAACATACAGGGAGGCCGTGATCAACGGGGAACCAAAGAATCTGAAAACAATCAACTGCTACAAAAAATGGACATAGTGTTACAAGAAATAAAGGAAATCGCAATGATAACAACAAAGCAAAATCACGAAGGTTCAAAAAATTCCAGACACGAAATCAATATAAAAAATATAAAAAGCGGAAAAGTCAGATACAACAAGGTAAAAAAACAGTGTTGAACTTATCATCACGCCCAATGTCAGAAACTGAACTGATAGTGCTTGGAAAAGGGTTAGGATTTTGTCCACGATATAATTCGCATGATAAGGTTCGATTAGCGGAAGAAGTTTTTCATTTTTCAAGACGTTTAAGACTAAAAGAATACTTCAACGATTTGTATAAAAATGATAACAACGAAAGCGATGATAATAACCAAAAAGAAGAATATCAAAATTTGCCGTTCTATAATAAAACATCATCTACCTTTACCCCACCTAGCGGGAGAGACATTTATTTGGATTTTTATATTGAGGCTATAAGTAATGAAATTATGCACTCTTCTAAACAAAAACGGTTTCGTCCTAATATATCCAAACAAGAACTCCAGTCGCTTAAAGACCTATCTCGTGATACAAATATTATTATCAAAAAGGCAGACAAATCCAATACCATCGTTATAATGGACAAACAGAAGTACATCGACGAAGTGAATCGACAACTGAACGATGAGCGATATTACAAAAAAGTAGAAAAGGAACAACATAATTTGACTAAGTTAAAAATAGAAGAATGTGTAAATGAAATACAGGAAAATAATGTAAGCATTACTAAACAATTTGACATGTTCCTGTCTACTATTCGTACACCTCAATTTTACATTTTACCGAAAACGCATAAATCATATGATGAGAAACTTCCTCTTGGACACCCTGGTCGTCCCATTGTTTCAGCATGTAGCTCCAGTACTGAGAACATAGCGAAATACCTAGACTTTATTTTAAATCCTTATATGCAAAGTTTGCCTTCCTATATCAAGGATACCACCGACTTCATAAATAAGGTTCGTAATCTTAAATTAAACAAAGACACCTATCTAGTTACCCTTGATGTTTCATCATTATACACAAATATCCCTCATAATGAAGGTATTGAATCTTGTATATATTTTTTACAGAAAGATAAAGGAAACAATAACATCAAAGCTAATGATATAAGGAAATTGTTAAATATTGTTTTACATAATAATTGCTTTGAGTTTAACGATCAGAGTTTTTTACAAACCATGGGCACAGCAATGGGAAGCCCTATGGCACCTTCTTATGCTTCATTATTCATGGGTAGACTAGAAGAGCAATTTCTTAACTCTACTTATGTAAAACCTGATGTCTGGTTACGTTTCCTAGATGATATTTTTATGATTTGGAATGATTCTTTGGAAACGCTTAACTTTTTTATAGATTCCTTAAATAGTTTCCACCCGAATATTAAATTCACTTACAATATTTTCTAAAAGTTCGGTACCTTTTCTTGATGTTTCTGTATCTAAAGACGTAACAGGAAAAATTGTTACCGATATATTTTGCAAACCTACAAATATGCATTTGTATTTAGATTTTACATCCTCTCATCCTTTATCATGTAAGCGTGGTATCCCGTTTAGTCAAGCTAAACGTTATAGACGTGTCATTTCCGATGACGGTACTTTTAAGCAGTCTTTAGATACGTTAAATAGATATTTTTCTGATAGAAATTATCCTAAATCTATTATTGAGAAAGCGTTTTTCTAAAATTGAAGGCATGTCCCAAAATGATGCTCTAAGTCCTGTCGTTAAAAATACTAGTTCAATAATACCTTTTACTGTATGTTTTAATACATCTCTGCCTAATATTGGTGAAATCTTTAAATAAATATTGGGATCTATTACTTTTGTCTGATAAGGTAAGCGTTAAAATATACATAACAAGTTCAAACCTATTTTAGCATATAGACGTCCTAAAAACATTCGAGATTATCTTATTAGAAGTGCTTTACTTGATCGCACATTTTTATCTAGCCAATGTTTACGAAGTAGATGTTCACATTGTAACAATATAATTGTTGGTTCCCAATTTAATAGCGCATAACAGGTAGTTCTTTTGATTTACACAATGATGTTAATTGTACTACGCGTAATGTAATTTACCTCATTACATGTAAAGGCTGTAAAAAGCAATACGTAGGTCAGACTAATCAAAATGTATCATGCAGAATGAATAAACATAGATTTGATATAAGAAATTGTGACGTTAATCCAGTTTCACATGTTGCGATCCATTTCGGATCAAACGATAATAAGTGTTCATTGTCAGATTTTCATTTTTACCTATAGAAATTATAGATCAACAACATGGACCGGTTATGTAAAGAATCTTTTTGGATCCATAAATTAAATACTATGATTCCAAATGGACTAAATAATAAAGTATTGTTTGATTTATAATAGGTTACATGAATATTAATATGTTTGTCTATTATCTTATTTTTATTAACACTGTCTAATAGACATCTGTATCACTGTTGATCCATTTTAATTCATGTACCAGCTTTATTTATAGCATAAATATTTGTTTCTACATGTTATCATAGTTTTGCCGCTAAACGCCATAACGTTTTTCGCGCGTTTAACGCGTGTTCCGTTATGACGTCGCTTCCGGTAATTTTATTATGTTTTGCACTGATGAAGGCATATAGCCGAAACGTTTGCAATTAAATTAAATTACTAAATGTTCGTGTTTGTGTGGCTTGTCTGATTATATTAGACATTTGGTATTATTATATGCAAATTTAGATAAAATAAGTAGTAGTTTAAGTTTTTGTCAAACTAATATAGTTATTTTCTACAACTTCAATCATTTATGATTATTATGCATTGATTACAACTTGCATGTTTCATAGACATTACGTTATTTAAAATAACTACAAAACTAAATTATAAATCATTTAATAATCATTTTCTTATTCAAGAGTGTGTGAGGGCGTTAACAAAATAGAGGCCGTGTCTAAATCTTGTGTAAATCAGACAGAGATTCAACAATTGTTAGACGAAACAAAGAAGGTAAAAGACGTCTTGAGTGCCACGGTAAACAAACAAAATGATAATCTTACAACCATTGATAAGCAGAGGGAGGTAATTCAAGAAAAACTAGACAGTACTGAAATGAAATTGATAGAGCAAATCCGTCAAATAAAGATAAGGACAGAAGATTGTTTAAATGAGAAGCATGCCACTTTGAAGGAAAAACTCGATTTGAGCATCGACCAAACTTCTTGCAAAATAAAGGAGTTGACAGAAAATGAGGGACAGCTGCAAATAACTGGTAACCTTGATATAGAGCAACAATTTGTTCACATGAAATTGATGAGGAAAGCTGCTACAGACTCCTTCAATTTACAAACAAGTATTACATCTGATGGTACATTGTCCTTATATTACACAAGTGATACAAAATTGGATAGTTTGGTCATGGCAGCCAATGCTTTAGGTCAGGTGATATCAGACGATGGAGGCAAGAAAGGTTCTGAACCAAAACACTACAGAATAAAGTCGAAGAGAGAAATCAATGTGAAAATGGACAACGATGCATCGCAATGTAGAATAATCGATATATGCCAGCTCCCTGAAAAGCATATCCTTGTTGCTGACAGAGGAAATAATAAAATAAAAGAACTAAACGTAGACTACCTTATAATAAATGTTTGTGACATTGAAGCTTCACCTAGAGGTATATGTTTCATCAGTAAAAATGAAATAGCTGTAAAGATGGCTAACAACAAAGTCCAGTTTATATCAACTAAATTCTCAAATCTTACCAAGACAAGAATTATTTCAGTAGCAAATGGAGATCTTTACGGAATGATATTTGTTGATGATGGCATATGGCTTTCCGGACCTGGTAGTATTGATATATACAATACAGCAGGGACACTCACAAAAAATATAAATAATAGTGATATATTCAAAAATAACGTTAAATCTCTCTGTGCCCAACATATGGCTGTTTCTGGTGGCATGGTCATTGTAACAGATTTCTCTGAAGGTGCTGTGTGTTTGAACAAGAATGGTACAGTTTTGAGAGAACTTCGAGATCAAAAGCTGGATATGACTCGAGGTGTTTGCGAAGCTGATGATGGCACTGTCTTCTTGTGTGGTTATGGATCCGATAATATTGTGATGTTCAGTAAAGATGGAAAATGTCTTGGCGAGTTGATTGCAGCAGATCCTGATTTGAAGGATCCTATTAATATGCTCTTTGACAAAGTAAACAACAACATTATTGTAACATGTGATGACAATGCAAATATTTATATCATAGAACTGGAATAATAGCATGTTTCAGTATAATCAATCTCGTAAACTCATTCTATATTAGTTAATTCATTTACTTGTGGAAACCCTTGATCACAAAATATTATTCTTTGTATCAAACCATTAATTATAAATATATAAAGGCAAAATACATGTATAACTTGCAAACTAATATACATGGATGCTGTATTTCACTATTTTACTTGAAAACTAATATATCAATTTTTACATTTACAATGTATTCAATTCAGAATTTGATGTTTGTACCCTTATACTGCTGAATTAACGTGATGCATTTTGTTGTGTCCTTAAAAAGTTTAAGAGATTTCAAGATCAAAATTTGAAAATAAATGAGCTACCAGCAGTAGAGTAGTAAAAAGCCTGCTACACTGGTCAAACTACATGGATGTTGACGTATAAATGCTATTCAGTTATGGTTTTAAGATGCTCGGGGGTTAAAATAATAAGTAAAGAGAAAATTTATGTAGAAATGTTCACATTATACTTTTTGCTTGGTTTAAGTATCAAATGCTGATGATTATTCATAAAAACAATGCACATGTATATTTTTGAATACATTCAAGATAAATCATGTAACTCATGAATGTATACATACCATAGATACATATTGTAAAACCGGAATAAATTTTCCTTTTCATTGTGATCACCCGTAATGCTATTTGATAAAACAATTATGCTGTTATAAAAACAACAAATTTCCTACCACACTCCATTCCAACATGTCTCATTGCCTTTGATGAAACACAATTGTGGCAATTCATTCAAGCCTATAATACTAAATATTGGCAAAGTCAAGTTATTTTTAGTCACCAACAAGGTCATACTATACATCAAATATGTATAAAAAAAATGAAATGTGTTGATTCCTCTGTCTTTATAAACAAATGTCACCAAGTGATGGGTCATTTTGAAATGCATTCCAATTTTAAAACAGAATAAGTATTCCAAGTTAAAAATGATCAGATTTGACAATCTTTGATACTTTGATCTTAGCAGAAAATAATAACCCAAAGGCTGGGCAATATACGACCAGATGTAAATTTGTTAATCTTTCAATTAGAGAAGCAAACCAATCAAGAAATTTGTCTGAAAAATGTTTTGATAATCCTTATGATATTATATGTCCTCGAAGGTGGAAGCATTTTCTACTTTTCTTCAAAATGGAGCTAAAAATGTTGATTGGTCTACTTTTAGCGATTTTTAAAAAATACATCTCAATTGTTTTAACCAGTTTGTTTATGCTGATAAACTAAATTGGCTTCATGACCAGCATGATTGGACTTTCTTGTTAAATGCAAGCTGATTGTCGTAAAGAAAAGCCTTGGCTTATTGTGGCAAGTGGTACACATTCTCATCACTGTCCATTTAAAGGTCAACAAATGAAACAAAAACACTTTAAATATCTAATGGTTTTAATAATTTTCTAAAAAATAACATGAAATACAATGAGGAAACAATATAGTCAAGATGAAATCACTATAAAATGTAAATGTCTGTTTTCATCAAAAATAAAAATGCATATTTTCTCCTCTATAGAAATAAGGAATGTCCGCTATAAATTAAAAACAAAATATTAATTTGGTTTCAACTATAAACTATAATCTGGGTGTATATATAGTTCAACCGGTATGGGCTAACAAAGTTTTTTGCCATCAAAACAGAAATTAAAAAGCTTTACAATATCAAATTAAATCTTACATCGTACATGTACCAATTTCTTATACAGTAATCTCCTCTAATAAGTGCAATCTGCCATGGGAGGTAATCACTATGAGGAATTTGACATTGTTCTTTCTTATAGTCTTTTTGTAGTGACAGTTAAAAATTATTAAACACAATTTTACACAACAGCGCAACACAGAACTTTATCAAATAATCTTTATTCATTTAGGTAATGATTTTCTTGAAATAAAGAGAGAAAATTTTATATAATTTTACAAAACTTTCACAAAGATAATTGGAAAACCAAGTAAAAAGTCATTTATTTCACACACAAAAATACAACAGTTATTTGAAACACAAAACAACTGGTATTTTAAATGCATTCATTAAAAGTACATGATGAATTCTTGATGAAAGATATTTTACATGACTTTATTGAAACAAGAGGGCCATGATGGCCCTGAGGTCGCTCACCTGTATATAGGTCCCCCACCCCCCAATGTTGCAGGGCCAATTTAACCCAAGGGCTTTTATTTGCACAAACTCGGTAGACACCCATAAGAAGATGTTTCATGCTAAACATCTAAGCTCTAGCTCATTGGGCTTTTTGAAAGAAGATTTTTTTAAAGATTTTTCTATACACATATAGTTAAAAACAACGACACCCTTGGGGCGGGGCCAATTTTGACCCCAGGGCTTTTATTTGAACAAACTTGGTAGACACCCATTAGAACATGTTTCATGCTAAATATCTTAGCTGTAGCTCTTTTTGGTTCTTTAAAAGAAGATTTTTAAGTTTTTACTATATGTATATAGGGAAAATCAATGACCCCCCGGGGCGGGCCAATTTTGACCCCAGGGCTTTTATTTGAACAAACTTGGTAGACACTCACTAGAAGATGTTTCATGCCAAATATCTAAGCTCTAGCTCTTATGGTTTTTTAAAAGGATTTTTTAAGTTTTTACTATATGTACATATAGGGAAAATCAATGACCCACCGGGGCGGGGCCAATTTTGACCCCAGGGCTTTTATTTGAACAAACTTGGTAGACACTTATTAGAACATGTTTCATGCTAAATATCTTAGCTTTAACTCTTTTGGTTCTTTAAAAGAAGATTTTTTAAGCTTTTACTATATGCATATAGGGAAAATCAATGACCCCCCTGGGGCTGGGCCAATTTTGACCCCAGGGCTTTTATTTGAACAAACTTGGTAGACATCCATTAGAACATGTTTCATGCTAAGTATCTTAGCCATAGCTCTTTGAGTTCTTTAAAAGAAGATTTTTTAAGTTTTTACTATATGCATATAGGGAAAATCTATGACCCCCCGGGGCGGGGCCAAGTTTGACCCCAGGGCTTTTATTTGAACAAACTTGGTAGACACCCATTAGAACATGTTTCATGCTAAATATCTTAGCTGTAGTTCTTTTGGTTCTTTAAAAGAAGATTTTTTAAATTTTTACTATATGTATATAGGGAAAATCAATCACCCCCGGGGCGGGCCAATTTTGACCCCAGGGCTCTTATTTGAACAAACTTGGTAGACACTGGCTAGTAGATGTTTCATGCCAAATATCTAGCTCTTACGCCGGACGAAAAGCGATCACAAAAGCTCACCCTGTCACTTTGTGACAGGTGAGCTAAAAATATAAAAGCATAAGAAAAATAATATAAATTATTTTTAAGAAGCTTAGAAAACAAGTATTTAATGGAAAAGGGAGTACTTCTGCTTAAAATAATTCAAATAATGTTTTGAAACAAAACAATTTCAATTTTATGCTGGAAGATGTTTTCAAATTGAGAAAGAAAAAATCGGTCTTCAATTACAAATTTTATGATGCTAATGTTTTGCTTCAAACACATTCAAACTCTATAGATTTGAAAAGAATAATGTTGGATATATACTTTGGCACAATAAGGAACCATATATGAAAATTAAATGTCCAAGGCTATCATGTGTTAAAATGGTAGATTAAAATCAAATACACAATTATTGTTGATAGCGGACAAGTTTTGAAAAATGGAAATGAAATTCCAATGATACTCATTAAAGTGACATTATGCCCAACCAAGGGTATAATATGTTGAGTGAAAAGGTGAAAGTCAAAATAAGTTAACATTTTGCCATAATGTTTAACACAAAGGATAGATATATGACTCATGTGGACCAAGGAAATTTTTGTAAATAAATCAGAATTTAGTAGTAACATTCATCTGATCAGTGTGGTACAGAGTGCTACAGTCTTTTTATATTTTAGGCAGATTATAATTTTATGCTAAAGATTTTCTAGGATCAATTGTTGGTCAATCATCAGAAAACCCAATCTCTTTAAATTTTGAATTATGTAATCAATTCAGTTTCACTTGACAATAAAAATATGAACATAATGTTACTTTAAGGAGCCAACGTTACATTACAACTGTACCATGTGTGTTGACAAGTGAGACTATATATATGCTGGCCTAGCTTTATAATAACAAGTTATTATTTAATATTCAATAAAAAAGGTTATTTAAGGGGTTTATTTTGGTGGGTTCAATAACAAAATTTCATAAATAAAAACCAGTTCACCAGGACATGTATATAACATATAAAAGTACTATAACACTGTATATGATAACATAAATAGACAAACAAATTGAGCAATAACAAATGGGTAAACATTTCAACAGTTTCCAACTTTTCGCTGCATAGCCTTTTAACAAAATTATAGTTAAACATTAGTATTCAGCACCCTTTATACGTTATTCATGTTATAAATATTGTTATTCTTTCTCTATGAACAAAAGTTGTTTGTAAAAACAAACATGACAAATGTATCTCCTTTCCAAATTTAATATAGATATTAATTCGCTATTACACTAAAACTGTATTATTCTTACATATCAAACAGTTTGGCCAATAAAGATATGAGGATATATATTAAATACTTAGCAAGGGGTTCACCACTAATTTCAAACAGCATGGAAGTATGTACCATGCTTGTAAAAGTGCAGACAGATTTTGTAAGTATACATATTTAGCTCATAGATGAAAAAATAATGTTCATAATGAGTGATGTGGTTTATCTCTCACTGATAAATTTCCTGTATGTTTCACTCATCATCAAAGAATCTACATATCTGACTGTACAGACAAGAAAATATCCAGACATACCAAAGGTTGTTAACATCATACTTTTAGAAGCAGTTAAATATATGGTTTCAAAATGATTACAAAAATACTAAATACACTGTTTTATAAATTGCTGACAAACTAATTCAAAGGATACATAATTACATTATACACAAATTCTTTTTTGTTTCTGTTCATAATTCTGAAAATGTTTATCTGACTTACAACATTAGCCGTCCGTATGACAGCAGGCTTGACTATTCTCATTGCTTGACAGTAAGAAATGGGGCTTAACTAAGCAAGATAATCACAAAGTGAACCGCAATAGTTTTGAAGGTACCAACTTGCACAAAAAAACTTGTGTGAGAAACACCCCAGGGTGCTTTACAAAAGCCCCCCCCCCCAATTCTTCAAATTGTTGAATTAACAATTAGAGATTAAAATAAATGAAGCATTATTAGAAGCTAGATGAATGATTTAATCAGAACAGTTACTGAAAAGTTATTGATTCATTCTTTCTTAAAGGTCATTTTCATGATTAAATACAATCTTCCTATCAAATGAAGCCAAAAATGCATGTTTTATGATAAGGGCTATTGAAAACAATATCAACAGTACTAACTTCTTCACAGTACAATGACTAGTGTAACAACTTCCTAACTTTATGATGAAGAGTGGACACACCTCAAGCAGGGTAGACACCAACTTCCCATCTATCAGAAGTTTATTGTTATGATACTAGTAAAATCTGCCATCATTTTAGTCCCTTGCACAATTTGTATAGATTAAACAGCTTGTACATTTCACTTCCATATACTGCTGACACAGTGTTACACTACCTTATCTTTCATTTATTCCAGCACAGCTACAATAGTGTAGCACTGATGTGACAAATTGCAATGAAAAAGCCATTATATGAATAAAATCAAACACTTAAAGCAAAATTAACCTCCGGGAAATTTATCGAAGTTAAAATAATTATAAAATATAAAACTGCATAATATATTTGTATTGTTCTACATAGTATATGCAAAATTACAATTTGTACATGTATATAAAAAAGAAAAGGTCACTTTACAAGAATAATACACTATAAAATATTGGATATCACAGCTCAGAAAATACATTACAGATCATAGACAGCAAAATAAATACATGTATATGAAATATGAAAGAAAAATAACTACAAATATGAAAAATAAACATATATACACACTTTAAGGCAATTCTTACATCAAAACAAGCCTATTTAATGGTCATTGAAATACACATTATGTACAATAAAGCATTGGCTAAGTAAAATGATCATAACTTTGGAGAAAAGAAAGTTTGATTATTCCCTTATAGTCTACATTGTAGTTTAGGAACATTTGTACAGAAACAGATACCCAAGTGCACAGATGCACATCCCCTTGTTTATTATAACTACGAAAAGTCGGGGGAAAAACCAACTGTACATTACTCATTAAAGAGACTATAGAATCACTTTATGCATTTCTTCTTCTGCATAATTATCTTTGAATAATTTAGTCTTAACATACAATATGATACATAAACTTTTACTTTTCCTCATGTATTCTAAAGTTAACACTGTTACTTTATGTTGGTGACTCATGGGAAGACAGACTATTTCCTGACATTAACTGAGATATAAAAATAAAACATCACCTTTTAAGACACTAAAAAATATCTTTCCCTGCATTGTTGACGTCATCAGTAACAAGAATTTAAATATTTGTTCCATAAAATCATCCGAAAATATCTGTATCTGTTCCTGCTAACAAAGTATTCAAGAAAGAAACATTAAAGCCTAAAGAGTAAAATCTCTAATAATAAAAACAATAATACCAAATTGTAAATATTATGCATGACAGGTCACTGACCTTTTCTTTAATTCATTCTAACATATAGTAATATACATGTGTTCTATAAACTAAGTATTTCCTACCATGTAAATTTTGTACCCTTAAACCTGCCAAATTTCTTAAATGAACTTGTCCAGCTTCAATTTTTGGAACAGTCCATTATCAATTATGGGGATGATAGAATTAAAGTAAGTATGTCAATAGATAAGGCTTGAACAAACTACACAGAAATGCAGACTAGCCTGGCTGAGGCTGGCTCTATTTTGGTAGCAAGGTTTATCAATTTTGGGATCCAGCAAAGTTAGGGGTAAATTAATATTGTACATATTAAACAAAGAACTTTTACAAGTCTATCTATATAGACTTGTTAAAGGTCATGTTCAGAAAGAGAACAAGACTGAATATCTTAAACATATTCAATTGCAGTACAATAAAAAGCAAACACTGCATACAAAAACCCAGATTTTATATCTTAAAGACTGGATAACACTGGCAGAAAAGAACAAATTAAAGGGTAGTAATTTTTGACATTTTGTTATGTAAGTCCACAGACACTTCTAACATCAGTTCTACTAAAGCACAATGTTACAAAGAGGAAGAGTATTCTTATACACTTATTGCAACTTAATAAGGAATGAAATACATGAAATATGGTAAAAAAATTCAAACCAAATTACAATCTGAGCTTTAAAATTTGCATATAATTATGACAAAAAATAGATAAATTTGCATAAATTATCTCGGACAAATAAATTTGGACAAGAAACGATGAAAAATTTGTAATTTAAGGAAAGAGCATAATTTTCAGAAAAAGAAAATTTGACTTTTCTTCCATACTTAAATGGTTATGCGTTTAACAATATTACCTGGTAGATTTGTTATATTTTAATACAAAATAAATGATTTTAAACTGCGTAGTTTGAATAGACCCTAAAGATATCTAATGTGACAAAATGTATGAAAGTTATAAAAATCTGATCTAATCTAAGTTACCCAACACACACATTATACAGTTTTTTATGGACTATTATCTATGACAATGAAATGATATCAAATGAAAATATCAATAAAACAACATAATCACATGAAAAACTTTACATACTCGTATTAACCCCTAGCCTGCTAAATTTAATTCTTTAGACGAGCTTGAACTTAATACGGTCCAATCCATTTTTCATCATATTGAAATGCAACTAAAAATGTCAATAAGACATGGATGCCGGGCATTCCACCTTTTTGTCAATCTAGGACAGTGTAACAACTGCAAAGACTGACAACAGCAAATCTATATCAGTCCCCTTCCCCTAAAAAGGGTAGATACTCATTGAGTATAGAGCTTGGTCAGACTGAATAGATGTGTGGGCTAGGCTGGCTCTATACTGGTAAAAAATGCTAATTACTTTCAATTCCAACAGGTTAAAAGTCAAGACAATTAGCAAACTAAGAAATAACAAGCTATGATTGTACTGTTGAAGTTTGATTCATTTAATGTTAAAAAAAAAAGAAAAAATGATGACTGAAATAAATAAAATAATGAAAAAATTGAATCTACTCAGAAAGGTTAAATTACATTATTTAATCACCACCTTTCTCTCATATAAGACTATTTAACAGTTATACAAAAAATTTTTGTTTTTTTTTAAAAAAAAAATCTCCAAATAAAATCTCAGAGATTACCTGTATTATCAAGTTGAAGTTTTTTTTTTCTAATGTTCGGATATATTCATATATTTATATATAGCTGATAAACATCAATAAGAATATTTAAAATTCTGACTTACAATATGCACAGAAATCTCATCGCAGTTTTTACCTCTTTATCTGCTCAGTGATTAAATTTCAATATTTTACATTATTCCTGTCAAAGTTGTAAATATACCTTTGTACAGCACAAGATATTTCATTAATAACAGTCAAAACTGATGACAAACAGAAACTGCGCAGTGTAAACCTTCTGTATTGCCTGAATACTTATAACTTCTAAGATTATGAAAGGTTTCAAATAATTCTGGAACCTGATGTCATTTACTTTACCAACAGGATAAACTTTAATTGTTGTCATCAAATTCTAGTATATGACTAGTTTAAAAGTTCATGAAAATATGGTGACCAATAAATATTAAACAATAGGGTAATATATAAATTTTTACGAAAATTTTAATCAAGTGGATAATTTCTATTGTGTATCAGTTCTACAATGTAAAAATATAATCTAACTAGTCATTGTGCAAACAAAAACTAAACATCACTCACTTTTTGAATAACATCATATAATTTTATCTCTGATTATATTTCTAACAAATATATATTTCTAATAATAAGTAAAAACTCCCATGAGCATTTTAATTAGGATATAATATCTGTCACAACCAAAGATTTTATAATCTTTACCTTTAAATGTTTCCTTAAGAACATGAAGTGCTTAATTCAATCAACTTCGTCTTTTGTTTGTGAAATATTTATTCATTTCCTATGTTTTAAAAGAAATTGAGTTTAATTATTGGATTTTTTTATGTCAAGGTAAACAAATGAAAGCAAAAAAATTATCATTTAATATCGCAAACAATACTTTCAAAGCACTAACATTTACATAAAGGAAATAAAAATATATAAATAAATGTCTCTATAATAAAAGCTCCTAAAATATATGTATATATATATAAAGGTGGGTTTTTTAAAGAGCTGTTAAATTATCTACACATTATTGTATGTGGCATTTCGATCAATATCAATCTCCATGTTTTTACAGAAGTCTGGAGTGAAGGGTATACAGTTAAAATACTGACAGCCTGGGCAGTTGTAAAGAGGAAGTACGTAAAATATATCACAAGAAGAACAAAAATGAAAATTGCGCCGCCGAGGGACAAAATTATTCTATCAGTTTGCGTCTTCTGTCATATGTTCCGAAAGACACGTATGGAAGCAAAGCAAATGCAAGGAGGAAACCAAACAAAAATCCACTAAGATGAGCCCAGTTGTCGATCCACGGGAGTAAACCAAGCATGAAGAGAAGGACAATCGGCACCGTGACCTTTAGTAAAGCTATACCGGGTCGTTCGAGCATCTGCCACGACTGGAGAACTTCTACCAACAGACAGGCTAAAATACCAAACTGCGATCCAGCTGGTCCAACCTATACACACAAAATAACAAATTCTTAGACATTTTTCATGAAAAGACTTTCAGTAATAAATGATGCAAAATTGAAAAACTTTTTAAGAACACATTTTAACAAATTATCTTTTTTAGATATAATATATATGCTTCAATTATTGAATAATTTTGACCTTTTATATGACAATTAGAAGGTTATGTACAATACACACATCTAATAGGATTCTTGTATTTGTTATAAACTTCAACTAGTTTCAATCTAACAAGGTCTTCACTTTTGAAAACAATTTATGATGTTCTTTGCTATATGAATGATAAAGATGATATATAAATTACCTCAACATGATAGGGAACAAAGATACAGCTGGCCAGGTTACCAACTATACCAGCACCCACATATATAATTGCCATTCTTATACTACCAGTCAGTTTCTCTGTGTCACGCATTATCAATATTTGGAATCCCAATGTGATGATAAGATGGAATAATCTACAATATCAATTATACCATTTATAGTATTTGAAACTCAATTCAACTTAATTAAAAAATTATTTGTAGGATATCATAAAACTTGTTAAGTCTTTTTTTTTTCTTTTTTTTTTAATAACAACCATTGTTTTTTTTTAGGTTTTTTAATAACAACCATTGTTTTTTACAGTAACCATAATAAAAAAATATTTTTGCTTAGATCCAAATTTCTAATAAAGAAATATGCTTAGAATTAAATTGGCAATCAAATTTGGTGTGATCCTGAGCCTGATTTGCATTACACACACATGCTTTTTTTCGATACAGTAATATAAACAGTTTAAAACACACAATAATATCATAATCTAAATATTTTCAAGTTAAACAATAAATATATATACAATATTCATGTATACAATACATACCCTCCATGTAAGAAGAGAGATGTCCACAATCTATAGAACTGATCAGGATATCTGTCTTGAGCAAATGGAATCATACCACAGATCTGTTTCATACACGCCACCTGTAATTTAGTCAACAAATAATATATTATCATTCTTAACAATTGTGACTTCAAAAAAGACTGATCAAAATTCAAAGCAGGGCAAAATATCTTCTTTTTTTTTTTTAAATTCCGAGTCCAATGAGTTTCGAAAGGCTAAACATAAAAATTGTATTCTTACATAGATTAACTGGGTCACTTGAAACAGAAAAATATGCAAAAATTAATATCAAATGGTACATAAATCTGAAAAAAATATTTCTAGCCCTTCTTGACAAAAATCATCAGTCGAGTCCATTTAAGAATGAATTCTTATATTTTTTTACCTGAGAACATAGGTAGGCATCTTCATGGAAATAACCTCTGACAAATTCACAATGTTCCCTTGTAGTTATCATACATTCTCCCTGTATCCCATGACAACATGGACGACCTGAGATTTTACACGACATGTGACGATCTGCACGATCCCCTTCCTCTGGTGATTTTGTCTCTGTACACAACTATATAATAAATAAACAGTCTATTATATCAATAATTCTTTTAACAATAATCTAGATGGCAAAAAAGATAACCAAAGTATATCTTCAAAGTTTCTGGACGGCAACAACAATCTGTCTGAAGAAATAGCTCTAAAACTTTCTTTGAAAAAGTTGTGGAAAGATAATGAGATTGTAAGATACAATTTATGATATAATGATTATCTTACCGGCCATTTTGTGATATCATCATCCCATCTAAATGGTTTAACTGACGCTGGGTCTCTACAGTATCTGAAAATCACATAAAGTTATTCCTTGATTATACAACAAAATATAATACTGTGCAAAATTCATTGCTTTTCAAGGCAACTTATAAGTTGAAATTTTGCAAATCCCAATATCAAAATATTAACAGAAAATTTTCCAAAATGATAAAATTATAAAAAACTAAATTTTACCCTACATTATAATCATAAGACTTTTTGAATCCTTTTAAAAGACATTTTTTCACTATCTCTATCTCAATAAGACAAGGATAACTAGAACTGTGTCCAAAGGACACGGATGCCCCCACTGACAACATTTATATGGTACATAGTGAAAAAATCAACAAAGGGCCATAATTCTGTTAAATTTGGTCGCAGCTTTACTACCATCCTCACATTAAGGTTGTTCATCCCTGGAAGTTTAAGCAAAATCGGCCATCCGGTTTAAGAGGAGTTGCGTTCACAAAATTTCTATTTAGTATATAGTGAAAAATTAAACAAAGGGCCATAATCTGTAAAATTTGGTCCCAGCAAAAATTCCTTCCTTTACTACCATCTACACATTAAGGTTGTTCATCCCTGAAAGTTTAAGCAAAATCTGCCATCCGGTTTAAGAGGAGTTGCGTTCACAAAATTTCTATATGGTATATAGTGAAAAAATCAACAAAGGGCCATAATTCTGTTAAATTTGGTCGCAGCAAAAATTCCTTCCTTTACTACCATCTACACATTAAGGTTGTTCATCCCTGGAAGTTTAAGTAAAATCTGCCATCCATTTTAAATCACAAAATTTCTACATAGTATATAGCGAAACAATCAACAAAGGGCCATAATTCTGTTAAATTTGGTCGCAGCGAAAATTCCTTCCTTATCTAACATCTACACATTAAGGTTGTTCATCCCTGGAAGTTTAAGCAAAATCTGCCATCCGGTTTAAGAGGAGTTGCGTTCACAAAATTTCTATATAGTATATAGTGAAAAAATCAACAAAGGGCCATAATTCTTTTAAATTTGGTCGCAGCAAAAATTCCTTCCTTTACTACCATCTACACATTAAGGTTGTTCATCCCTGGAAGTTTAAGCAAAATCTGCCATCCGGTTTAAGAGGAGTTGCGTTCACAAGATTTTGGGACGTACCGACAGACGGACGGCCAGACGTACGGACAAGTGCAACGCTATATGCTCCCACTCTGTGGGGGCGGCATAAAAATGTTATAATAAAACATTAAAATTGCCTATGATTTGACACTCACTATAACACTGTAAATTGATCAAGACAGGTTTGTTTTTTGTTTTTGTTTTCTTTTTGTTTTGGGTTTTACGTCATATCGACACAGTATAGTCATATCGCGACATTCCAGCTTTACTGGTGGAGGAAGACCTCAGGTGCCCTTCCGTGCATTTTTTTCAGACACGAACGGGCACCTGAGTAGAACCACCGATGTTCCTTAAGCTAGCTGGATAGCTCCCTCACATGAAAGAATCCAAAGTCCCTGTCCGGATTCGAACCCACAGCGGTGAGGGGCAAGTAGTTTGAAGTCAACGACCTTAACCACTCGGCCACGGACGCCCCAAGACAGGTTGTAGTACATATATTACTTACTTTGGATCCTGACCACATACAGAGCCTGATGTCCACTCACCATGACCTTTACTTGTAGAGTTCCATTTATACCACGTGTTTAATGTTTTCTAAAAAAAAAACAAGTATAAATATTTTAAAAATATATGAATCTGAAGTAGATATACTGCAATTTACTGATAGATGAAGGTAATACTTTTACAATAACAATACATCATTGTTACTGTGTGTTATTTTTGTTTAAGATCATAGGTCATATGTTCTAGGAAAGGATTATCTAATGGTGTCTCCCATGTGTAAGATAAGATAAAGTTCATTGAGATACCGGTGTTGCCTCCTTAGATAACATCAAAATTATCATCACTGCAGTCACAATACATATAATTTGTAAAATTAACAAAAAATTAGTATCCAAGATACAGGAAACTTCAAAATCTGCATTATATTTGGTTGTTGTTCCAACATTACACCACTTTTGTAATGCATGCTTGTTGATTGACTCATTTTTTTTTTCTGGGGTTTAATTATTGTGATGACATGAAAAGAGATAACAAACATCAAAGCACTTGGCAATCTGATTATAATTGGGGGGGGGGGGACAATCAAATCAGATAGCCTTGTGTTTCGATGCTCTTTCTATTACTTTAACACTAGGTCTAAGTTAATCAGACAATCAGACATAAAACTTTTCTATTCGGCCATAAATATGTAACATTCATCTTAACATGCTTATCATAACTTACAGCACATCTGTCTTTAGTCATTTGAGCACAACCAGACCCATCATCCCTCACACAACATGCAGAATGCCGCTCCTCTTCCAAGTCCTTGTTTAAACCTTTCTCTATACCCTGATCTCTTCTCATACATGGGGAATACTTTGCACCCAGATGTATCAAATCAGCCTGACAATAATATAGTGAATATGTGATTATAATAAATTATCAATAATAAAATAAGATTGGACAGAAATCAACAAATTACACAATTCATTATAAGTTATTTCTTAGAAAAAGACTAAAGAGTGATTTTTGAACATGATAAATATTGGAAGAGTGAACTTAAATCATCTGTTTTGTTGAGTTTAGAACCAGTTTTGTCACTATTTCAGTTAATTAATGGCATGCAAGTGCTGAAAAGGGTGTTAATAAATTTTCTATACAGAAAGCAATGTGGGTCTCCACATGTAACTGTGAAACATCATTTTTACAGACAAACACTTGCTACAGCTGTGGAGGATAAATGATGTATTGTTACTGTCAACAAAATCAGGCCATCCTTAAAAAAATGTTTGTTTGCAGTAACCCGACCCAGAATTTTCAAGGTGGGTAGGTAGGTCGATTTTTTTTTTTTTTTTTTTATTGAACTGTACTCCCAAATAAACATGGAATTCAAAATGCTGGACAATATATGCTTTGATAATCTGGTAACAATTAATAAATTGATAACTGAATTCTAATTTAATAAGGCCTACATTTTATTTCTTCTATTAACCTTTAAAAGAACGAAAACAAAGCACAAGGCATAATTTTCTGATTCAAAAAATTTTTTTTTTTATCCAGACCATGAAAAAAAATTTTGAGTAGGGGCAAATTTTGTGAGTCGGTCGCGTTACTGCAAACAAACATTTTTTTAAGGATGGCCTCATCATAAAAAGATATATGCCTTATTCAAATCTCAATAAACTCAATCATCTTGGGTCCCTAAACTTTCACTCTCTCCTTACAAAACTAATCAAGAAAGTATTTCAAGTTAAGATACTGTGTCATATCCTTTCAATAAAGCCTATCCAAATTGAGTTTCAAAAATACATGTACATGTATTATATATAATACAGTTAGAATGGGGTACATTCATTTAGAGATAAAAAATATAAAATCTTAAATCATGCTACATTGCATGTGAACTCAGTATATCAAACACAAAGTTAAAGGTATTCAAATATTCATAGAAGATATTTTACCTGCCGAGGTCCAATCCATAAATTGTCTGCTTCAACATATCTAGTCAGTTCATATGCCAAGTTAGGTTTTAATATCTTAAAAAGTACAAGAATTATCAACATCAATTATCAACTGCTCAATATATATTATAGTAGTTTGTTTATAACTAGTATCAAAACTGTCATTGTTTTATAGATTTAACTAAAGGGAATTGCATAGGATCAATTTACAATAAAAAATATAAATAATAAATAATAAAGATAATTTCTGAATAACCTTTCAAACTTTACAAATATTAGTATATTTCTCATTAACATGCTCTAAAAATTACATTTTCTGAACCTATTCAACATCATTAGGGAATGATGCTAGCAGAATTTGTGTTTCATTATTCTTAGTGCAGTACACAGTTCACTATTTCAAGCTTTGGAAACTAAAATTTTACCTATAAAGTAGACAAGGAAGGCTGAAAATTAGGATAGGAAACAATGAGACTATAAACAAACTTACTGCGTCAGAGTACACAGTTTCTGATGATCCTATAGGTGCTATACCATACACTGCCACTGACACTATAAATACCACTATCTGTACAAATGTCACCCAGTATGTGAAAAATGGTCTGAAAACATGTGAATTTATTATAACATTAAACGATCATTCCAACATTTAACTGTTAAACATTCATCATAATATTTATTGTTAACAAGAGGGCCATGATGGCCCTGAGGTCGCTCACCTGTATATAGCCCCCCCCCCCCCCCCCGGCCCAATTTTTACCCAAGGGCTTTTATTTGTTTATTTGAACAGACTTGGTAGACACCCATAAGAAGATGTTTCATGCAAAACATCTAAGTTCTAGCTCATTGGGTTTTTTAAAAGAAGATTTTTTTAAGTTTTTACTATACACATAGAGTAAAAAACAATGACACCCCTCGGGCAGGGCCAGTTTTGACCCCTGGGCTTTTATTTGAACAAACTTTGTAGATATTTACTTAAAGATGTTGCATGCTTAATATCTAAACTCTAGTTATTTGGGTTTTTTCAAAGAAGATTTTTAAGTTTTTGCTATGTATATAAGGAAAATCAATGACCCCTGGGGCGGGGCCAGTTTTGACCCCAGGGCTTTTATTTGAACATACTTGGTAGACACCCATTAGAACATGTCTCATGCTAAATATCTTAGCTCTAGCTCTTTGGGTTCTTTAAAAGAAGATTTTATAAGTTTTTACTATATGCATATAAGGAAAATCAATGACCCCTGGGGAGGGGCCAATTTGGACCCCAGGGGTTTTATTTGAACAAACTTGGTAGACATTCACTAGAAGATGTTTCATGCCAAATATATAAGCTTTAGCTCTTACAGTTCTTTAAAAGAAGATTTTTTAAGTTTTTACTATATGCATATAGGGAAAATCAATGACCCCCTGGGGCGGGGCCAATTTTGACCCCAGGGCTTTTATTTGAACAAACTTGGTAGACATTTACTAGAAGATGTTTTATGCCAAATATCTAAGCTCTAGCTCTTACGGTTCTTTAAAAGAAGATTTTTTAAGTTTAAACTATATGCATATAGGGAAAATCAATTACCCCCCAGGGCGGGGCCAATTTTGACCCCAGGGCTTTTATTTGAACAAACTTGGTAGACATTCACTAGAAGATGTTTCATGCCAAATATCTAAGCTCTAGCTCTTTGAGTTCTTTAAAAGAAGATTTTTTAAGTTTTTACTTTATGCATATAGGGAAAATCAATGACCCCCTGGGGCGGGGCCAATTTTGACCCTAGGGCTTTTATTTGAACAAACTTGGTAGACATTCACTAGAAGATGTTTCATGCCAAATATCTAAGCTCTAGCTCTTACAGTTCTTTAAAGGAAGATTTTTTAAGTGTTTACTATATGCATATAGGGAAAATCAATGACCCCCCGGGGCGGGGCCAATTTTGACCCCAGGGCTTTTATTTGAACAAACTTGGTAGACACTCACTAGAAGATGTTCCATGCCAAAAATCTTAGCTCTAGCTCTTACAGTTCTTTAAAAGAAGATCTTTTTAAGTTTTTACTATATGCATATAGGGAAAATCAATGACCCCCCGGGGGCGGGGCCAATTTTGACCCCAGGGCTTTTATTTGAACAAACTTGGTAGACACTCATTAGAAGATGTTTCATGCCAAATATCTAAGCTCTAGCTCTTTAGGGTTGTTTAAAAGAAGATATTTAAAGATTTTTCTTTCGGTTGCCATGGCAACCAGAGTTCTGCATGGAATTAAATTCTTTGAACAATTTTTAAAGGTGACCACCAAAGGAACATTCCTGTGAAGTTTGGATGAAATTGGCTCAGTGGTTTATGAGGAGATGTCATTTAAAGCAAAAGTTTACGGACGGACGACGGACGGACGACGGACGGACGGACGGACGGACGCCGGACGAAAAGCGATCACAAAAGCTCACCCTGTCACTTTGTGACAGGTGAGCTAAAAAATCAAAAAATAAGTAACATCAAGTGGCTATGATAAAATATTGCGTAATTTTTCATATCAATGCATAATTTGATTGTTATAAAATATATCACTCACAAGTATATTTAACTACATTAACACATTATTTCTTATCAAAAATCAACAGCTTGTCTTGTTAACAAAATTTAACAAATTTTTGCAAGATATCCAGCAGATTTTATAGGATGACTGTGAGAACCTTAAGTCTGAAATATCACCACTTACCTATGATCATCCAGTTCATCAATTTGTTTCTTTACATAAGAGTTCATGCGATCAGGACGATAATTTCTCTGGAATAATCTCCCAACAAATCCCATACCAACATGTCTCTTGTCCCTCTCTGTTACTGAATTAACAATTTCCTGTCTAATTCTTCTCATACCGAAGTCTGGCATATCCAGGCCAGGATCTGGTGTTCCTGGGGCAGGTTTAGGTTGTGCTCCAGCCCGCCATCCTGCCATTGGAACTGCCCTGCTAAAAAGAAGAAGTTTGTTAAAGAAGGAAAGATGATTTATTATTATTTTCTGACACTAATATTTATAATTTATCATCAAAATTGTTGAAAAATGATTATATGTACATGTTGTAATGTGTCAAACGTTAATAATTATACCAGCATAATGTAACTGTTTATTTGTATAATGTTATTGAAGGCTAATGCTTCCCTTGTGGACAGCAACAAAGCTTGACATCTAGGACAAATTAACTATGCTTTAACTTCAAGTCAAGTTATTCACAGGTTCCTTTTTTACAAAATTCTATTTCATATTAGAGAAAAACTTGCTGTGTTTAAACATACAGTTTTTTTTTTTAATTTCAGGAACCGTAGCAAAATTTAGCAACTCAAGATTTCTAATCTATCTGATAGTGGTTTTTTCTGAATTAAACCATCCATAAAAAATTGTATGTTTGTAGTGCTCCGACCGACCCATGAAAATGGCCCCGACTCTAAAAATTTTTTAAACCTTCGAGGATTTTTTTTTTTGAGATCATTATGTAAAGATAATATACATACATCAATGAATGTGAAAATGGACTACCGCAGACCACCACTGTATACATATATTTTTACACAAAACAATACTAGAGGAACTTTATTTTTGACATAAATTAATTTAAATCATTTTGCCATTCATGATTGTCAGAAAATGAGGTTACACTAAAACTTGTTGAAAAAACAAGTTAATTGATAAAATTTTTGTGGGAAAATCGCTGGAAATAAATGGGTCTTTTTCCGATACTTTTAAATAAGTTATACCTGTGTTTTCTTCATAAGAATGATAATTATTTATAAATTTTACCTTTTCCTTAATTGTAATTTAATAGCCATATTTTTTTAATCTTTGTTGCAAACAATTTTACAAATCATGCACTGTTTATATTTTTTGTTTTTCTTTTGTTTTCGTTCTTTTTTTTTCTCATTCTTTGTAATTTTCCATACTATATTCCCTTTCAACAGTTCAAACACCCAAATGGGTTTAATTAATTGTTGCCCAATGCTTTCTTTAATCCCACTTTCAAAACAAACTCCAGGCTCTAGGACCTGTTGACGATTGTGAACAATTACACACTATACATGTATACAGCAGGTGATGTAGATTTTTCTACATAATATACACTGCCAAATATGGTAAGTACACACAACTGTGTGACAGGTGTAATATACATAATGATCTATTATTATGCTGGCTAGTGAAAGGAGTTAATACAGTATGGTTTGTTTGATACACAGGAACTTGAAATTCTATCAATATTAATGATAATATCCAAATTATACCCCCTATACAGTATAAATAAACTGTATGGGGGGTATATTTTGGATATTATCATTAATATTGATAGAATTTCAAGTTCCTGTGTTTGGTAGGTGGCAAGATAATCTAAATTTTAAATTTAAGTGTACCCCTAAAATTTAACAAAAAAACAAACAAATAAAAGAAAAATCAAAGATAAAAAATTCTGCTGTTAGTCATTTAATTTGAAATATTTGTATTCTAACCAGATTAATATTATTTGCAGGAAAATTCCTTTTATTCAATATAAATGAGAAATGGATTTGCTACACCCGTCCCTTCTTTGTGCATTTAGAATCTGACAAGTCAGGACCAGTAAATGAAATCTTAGGTAGTCACCAAAGCAGGTGGTAATCATTGATTAAAAAAACAACAAAAAAAACATCTATACTTGTAGTGTAAATTGCATTTTCAAATAACACTGAAATACTAGTATTGAGACTAATTCTGTTCTATTTTCTCTAAGGGCTTGATCTATCAAGTAATCATATCTCAGACCACTTGTTTTATTGCAGGTATTGCCACCTTTTGTCCAAATACAATGTTCAGTATATCATGGGAGACTATATACTGTGTATTGCTATACTCAGTATGCTCAAATTTTCTAACAATTGCAATTTAAAAATTTTTTTTTTTTAAAATCCCCCACCTACCTACCCACCTCTTGAACTTAGGGTTGGAGCACTACAAACAAACAGTTTTTTTAAGGATGGCCTTGGGAAGTGGCCTTAGCCTCTTGATTTTTGGGAAAAAAACATTGCTAAAATTGCTTATACAGGAAGTAAAAAATCTGGTGCAAGTTCAGAATTTTTTAAACAAGAGGGCCATGATGGCCCTGAGTTCGCTCACCTGTATATAGGCCCCCCCCCCCCCCAACCCCGGGCCAATTTTTACCCAAGGGCTTTTATTTGTTTATTTGAACAGACTTGGTAGACACCCATAAGAAGATGTTTCATGCTAAACATCTAAGTTCTAGCTCATTGTCTTTTTTAAAAGAAGATTTTTAAAGTTTTTACTATACACATATAGTTAAAAACAATGACACCCCTGGGGCAGGGCCAGTTTTGACCCCAGGGCGTTTATTTTAACAAACTTTGTAGATATTTACTTAAAGATGTTTCATGCTTAATATCTAAACTTTAGCTATTTGGGTTTTTCCAAAGAAGATTTTTAAGTTTTTGCTATACACATATAAGGAAAATCAATGAACCCCCCGGGCGGGGCCAGTTTTGACCCCAGGGCTTTTATTTGAACATACTTGGTAGACACCCATTAAAACATGTTTCATGCTAAATATCTTAGCTCTAGCTCTTTGAGTTCTTTAAAAGAAGGTTTTTTAAGTTTTTACTATATGCATATAGGGAAAATCAATGACCCCCTGGGGCAGGGCCAATTTTGACCCCAGGGCTTTATTTGAACAAACTTGGTAGACACTCATTAGAAGATGTTTCATGCTAAATATCTAAGCTCTAGCTCTTACGGTTCTTTAAAAGAAGATATTTAAAGATTTTTCTTTCGGTTGCCATGGCAACCAGAGTTCTGCATGAAATGGAATTCTTTGAACAATCTTGATAGAGCTTCATACAAAGAGTATTCCTGCCAAGTTTCATTAACATTGGCCTTGCGGTATCATAGAAGATGTCCTTAGAATATTTAAAATGTGGACAGACAACTGACGACGGACGCCATTTGGTTGGCCATCCTAAAAGCTCACCTGCACTTTGTGCAAGGTGAGCTAAAAAAGGACAGTAATGGATACCTTAATGGTGCGGATTCAGCAAAATCGGCACTGGTCTCTTCTCGTATTTTAGCCAACTGTTTCTCTGGGATACCAGCAGTGGGTTCATCATAAAACACATCATCTACTAGACTTAACTGATCATGCTCAGGTATCTGAAACTAACAAAACTATCAAGTAAACAAACTAGTACAATCCCAATGGATATGCTTGAATGGTCCCATAACATGAATTTTTCTACTGGAACATTAAAGTTATTGACACAATTATTCTGAAAAAAAAATATTTCAATTATTAGTGAGCCAGCCTTTTTAAAAAATATCTAAAATAGGTATAATCATTTAAATCATATGTTGGCGTATGAGCTTAACTGATGTAAAAAAACAAAAACATTTACTAAGCCAGTTGGATAGCTTTTGTACATGAAATAAATTAAATATCTTTAAGTGGATTTTAACCAGTAATAGTGAGTAGTCAATCAGAGGAAGTAAGTGACCTGACATGATTTGGTCATGGAGAACGACTAAAATGATACAATTATTATACATACTGCATAACTGTCACCAAGATCACTCCTTGCATCACCCATATCTCCTGCCAGACTTGCCGGGGCATAGCTCCTTACACTTTGTTTACCTCGCAACTTCTTCCTTGAACCCTGAATACATCAATACAGCATTGATTCAAGGTAAAACAAGAGACTGTAAAGTTAAATAACAAACATGGTGAAGTATTTGAGACATACGAACAATACACTTTATGAAGTTTTACAACAGCTTTTCAGATTTACAAGTTAGTGCAGACCCAAGATGTCCTGTAATGCATTACTAAAAGCATACTTTAAAATGCATGAGGCCAAAATTTCTTGAAATCAACATTTTAGATAAATTGGTGAAATTTGAAATTAGTGAATTATTAGGTTCAGTTCTTTTAAATTATATGGTAGATATTTAGCAAACATTTATTTTCAAATAAAACTTCAATTCCGAAAATTAGCAAGATTTTATCCATTGCAATTTTTTTCATTTGATTTTACAGTAAGCAGACACATAGAACAATTAGACTTTCTTATGGTTGATACTTAGTCAACAAATGTGAGTAAATTTTGACAGATGGATTTTCCAAATCTAAAGCAGCAAAAATTGCTGACATTCAAATTGGAAAAGTCCTGAAGTACCATAAGAATTAAATTGTAATTTTGCTACTTATTCACAATAATGTTACACTACATACTGCAATTGTCTGCATTCCTTTCCATGTCATTTTGAGCACTGAATCTTTGCGTGTTCTTCTAACTGGAAATCCCCCACGTGTACTGGGTGTGTACGTGCTTGTACTTGATAGTGGAGTTGTACGTCTGGAATACTGGGCACCTGCACTATATCTGGCTCCAGGCGCTACAAAATCAATATCAGAACAGATTATCAAATGAGCCGCGCCATGACAAAACCAACGTAATGCGTTTACAACCAGCATGGATCCAGACCAGCCTGCACATCTATGCAGTCTGATCAGGATCCATGCTGTTCGCTTACAAACCATATAACAAGTAGAGAAACTGATAGTGAACAGCATGGATCCTGATCAGACTGCGCGGATGCACAGGCTGGTCTGGATCTATGCTGGTCGCAAACACATTATGTTGGTTTTGTCATGGCGCGGCTCAAATTATCAATTATCAAAAAACATACAAAATCTAATTATCTTCTCGGACTAAAAACTGGCATAAATAATCAATAAGTATATACTTGAGTACAAAACTAACCATCTTCATGTACCCTCAATATATTTATTACATGTATTATATAAAATTTACTTGATTCCACTTTAGAAATGAACATATAATAGACAAAATGTTACACAATAATAAATCTGTGATAATGATGCTGCCTATAAATATATCTAACATGGTATGATATGTTAAGAACTTTTTCATTTCATACTCAGTTTATTCTCGTACAACATACAGTTCTCTGATCTTTTATCTTGCAAACTGATGAAAATAATAATAGTGATGAAATCTTTTATGTGACAGAGTACATGTATATCAAATGAATTGTAATATACCTTTCAATGGATCATGTATATATCTAACAGATGAATCCACCTCATCAAAGTCAGTCGTTTTCTGAAGGTATCCATCTTTTACCTTCCCACGGTAATAACGCATGTGCCGGTTCTGCCATTTTGATGACTGTTGACAATCTTCATCACCGAGCCCAAAAAAGTCAGCTACACTATGTTTCACTGACCTACATATACATAATTAATATCATTCTTGAAATGTATTTAATCTATTACAGCGATGTGCATGATAAAGCCTTCACTACACTATACAGTTTTTATTTTGTTGCCATTATGGTAAACCTTATACAAAAAGTCTATGATGGCAACAGAAAATCCTATCTAAAATATTTGAGTGAAAACATGTGTTTAATATCACTTATAAAAAGATCAGATATAGAAAAATTAAAACATAAATTTTCATAAAAAAGGCAACATAAATATTGATTATATCTTGTTTGACTTTTTCTATTTCAATTCTCAATATACAGTGTATGCATCATTTAAATTTATCACCCTGCGTTTGTGTGATATACTGTTTTTTTCCCTCATGTGGGTAACAAAATAGACTGATGTAAGAAAATTGTGTCTAAAAATAGATTTTCTTTGAAATCACAGGTCTGCATTGAAAAGACACTTCTCAGAATATGTTGCATAAGTAAACCATTTCCAACTTAGCAAGTTTGTTATATTAAACTGAACTTGAAGATTATAAATAAAGCCACAGTGTTTTAATGCCACACAATCTATAGATCAGGAAGCCATGTGCTTTTTTGGTCTTTATAATTAGCAAGAGCCACTTAGGAGTCACTAGGTCAGTCATCAAGGAAAAGGCACGCAGCCCTGGGTCATATTGCTCACTGAAACATTAAGTTCTTGCTCCTATTTCTATAATTCAAAATAATAATTATTATTGTCATTATCATCATGCACTATCAGCCTCCTAGGTTTCTGATATTAGGGATGCATAAATTACTTGATGATTTTTACCTGCCAATTTTGCTCATTCGTGAACGCTGATGCTGGGGCCTTTTTCTCATCATACCTTCCAGTTACCCGCAGGGGCACTCACTTGACGGTCCATCCTGGTTCTTTAATTCCTGAAAATACAAACATCTTATTGTAGGTAAGCATAATTTGGTCAATCTTTAGGGTTTTTTTTGGACATAACACATAGGGACTAGAGTCAACACATATTATGTACTTTGCTTGCAAGAAATGATGCATCAAATAAGCTTGCAATAAAAATAATGATACAGTGACAAGGTAGACATGGCTGTCCTCATAATGCAGGCTTAAACGTATTTATGGGACTCACAATAAATGATACAAATTTAGTCCATTATTCAATGAAATTTATCCATTATCAATTCTTAAAATGTATCTACTACTCCAGAGTCTAGAAGTTACCAGTTCCATATAATTTTGTCAGTCAAATTTAATCAAACTTCTACACATACGAAAAAATAATCTTTTAAAATTGCATTGTAGTATGATAATCAAGTTTCAACAAAAATAATGGTGCTTTTTTTTCTAAAAGTGACATACCACAACATACTGTATTAATCTGACTTAAGTTTAATACTAATGTAATTGTACCATCATGTACTAGTATATTATCATAGACTTAATATTTCCAAGTGATATCTCTGATTCTAAATGGATGCTAGGAATATTTTCATCTTCTATCTAAAGACCTTTTTTATTGCAATTCTAAAAAAAAAATACACGAAAAACACAAAATATATAATTGTATACTTAAACAATTTACTTTAACAAACTGCATATGTACATGTATATACCTAGCCAACAGAAAAAATTGAAAGTAGCCCTTTCGATTTATACATGTATATACTAAAGGAAGTCCAGTGAGTATAATTATGGTAAACTTAAAGGCAGCACAGAAATATTAATATACTTCCTTATTAGATTTTTATCACAAGAACACAAATTGTGAATGCTTTACCGTTTATGCTGCTAGAACTATAAGAGATTACCATTTGTCGCAAATGTAGAGCCATTTAAATATTCAGTAGGTTAAGGGTTAAAAAAATCGTAAGATCACAACAGCTCAAAAAAATTTTTTAATCTTAATGGGTATAAAATTTTGTCAAATGAAATATCTTCAGAAAATTTGTAAAAACTAAAATTATGTTGTTTCTAATATCTTATGATTGATGCTAGAAAAAAATTGTAACTTAGAATTTCTTTTTTTATTTAACACACACCAATTAATATTGTATGTAAACAGTATAAAATGTTCCAATGCGGTCAATTAACCATAACCTTTTAGCAGTTACTTTTGCATGTGCCATTTGCTCTTATAGACTTAAGGAAACTTACATATATTCTTTCAAACAGATATTTTGGAATTATTCTTTTTCATAATTCAAATACAAAATGTATACTACAGACTGAGTACAGACAATGTATACATCCCCTCCCCCAATTTAAAGTTACACTCACAAAAGTAGAATAATTTTGTATCATGCATTCATTAGCATTTCAGCATAAACACAAGCTTTGACCTTTCATGAAGCATGACAATTATCGCATATACAAATACAATACCAAACATAACAGTAAACATTGGTCATATTAATATGCTCAATACAAAGTTTAAATGCATGAAATACACATACATAATTATGTATGTTTTGTTATACCCAAGAAACAAACATTTTTTGTCTTAGTACATATGCATTATTTTATAATAGGTAAATGTACATTGTACCATGAATGAATAAGATAAGAAAACAAATCTTACAGTTGTCAGTATTCAATTTTAAATAATTCTGCGAATTTCACCTTAGTTTCCAAAAAGCAAGAAATAATGATAATTGCCATTGTACATTGCCTGAACGATGCTTAGATTTTATTTGAGCCTGGCTTACTATTAAACATTTTACAAGGGCCCATACAGCTTTTGCCACTTCCTGAACTAAACAAACAGATTTGAACATCATACAGAATAAATGTAACACTGAATGTTGTAAAAACAAACATATTTCCTTAACTTCAGAATTGGATAATCAACTGTGTAAAAGTTTTAGTAAAAATCAAACATATTTACTTCACTTCAGAATTGGATAATCAACTGTGTACAATTTTTTGTAAAAATCAAACATATTTCCTTAACTTCAGAATTGGATAATCAACTGTGTACAATTTTTTGTAAAAATCAAACATATTTCCTTCACATCAGAATTGGATAATCAACTGTGTACAATTTTTTGTAAAAATCAAACATATTTCCTTAACTTCAGAATTGGATAATCAACTGTGTAAAAGTTTTAGTAAAAATCAAACATATTTACTTCACTTCAGAATTGGATAATCAACTGTGTAAAAGTTTTAGTAAAAATCAAACATATTTCCTTAACTTCAGAATTGGATAATCAACTGTGTAAAAGTTTTAGTAAAAATCAAACATATTTACTTCACTTCAGAATTGGATAATCAACTGTGTAGAATTTTTGTAAAAATCAAACATATTTATTTGAGCCTGGCTTACTATTTATGGAAGAAACATCTTTCAACGGCCCATACAGCTTTTGCCACTTTCAACTAAACAAACGGTTTTGAACATCATACAGAATAAATATAACACTGAATCGAATGGTGTAAAAATCAAACATATTTCCTTCACATCAAGATTGGATAATCATTGCTGTGTGCAAATTTTTTTTTTAAAAATCTGGACCTGTAATGTACTTAAAAAAAAAAAAAATTAGTTTACAAATATCATGAAGTAGAGAAAAGTTCAATGTGTACAATCATGTACATTGTATTTGTATACTTTTTTCTTCCCATTTTTCAAATTTATATATTGTGTAATTTTTCCCCAAAATAAAGGGCAGAGCTGCTTTCCTAACCTGTGAAAAAAGCCATGCATGAAATTTAACCTTTCACTGACATCAACTGCCATCCTGGATAATTTGGTCATACAGGCTGATAATATTTATTACTTAATTAGTTTTTCTTTTTCCAAACAACTCTTTACTCAAATACTCACACCCACAAAAGTTTAATATTTATTGCAAGTTTATGCATCAAACACATTTCACCATAGAGAACTTCAAACCCTTTTACACGCCCGGCAAACTGTCGCTCCACTTCAAAATTGTGGTGTACGGTAAAACGAGCGAACGGCATTTCCGAGATAGAGCGGAAGGCCGATTTAAACGCCTAATTGTAAGTATTGTTTATGTTTTTGTCTTGTTATTTATTTAAGTTGTATTTTTTCGAAAAACGGGAAATGTGGTTCCGTGTAGGATTGATTTAGGCTTCCAACGATCTTAGCTGTTACAAAAATAAAATTATATTAAGCCCGGGAGAACTTTTCTCCCTGACGAAGCGAACGATGATTTGTAGAATATTGAACTTCCCAACCATAGAAATGCCATACCTTTCGGATTTCTTGAAAAAGTGTATTAATAAATTATCAACCCGTAATAAGAACTTGTCCTTCGTGCAAAATAAATTACTCCTGAAGGATTTCTTAAATTTGTAAACCGATATTTTTCGAAAGTAGTGGAGCGAAAGGGTGAGAGATGGAGCAAAAGGTTCGATGTTGAGCGCAAGGCGATATTAATTTGACGTTTTAGGAGGAGCGTAGTCAGTGATTTTTATAAATAAAAGCTATAGAAGTTAAAATAGACATGATCAAGTGTTAAGACCGAGATATATATTTACCTTTTAAAGACAACTAATAAAGTTTGATATCCTTTTAACGACTATAGCGTAATGACTGTAATCGCTAAGGTGTCACCTATGGCTTCCGTGTAGATTCCTATATTTATGTTCGAAATTTGGATGAGGCCCGACCATTGAATCATACACATTAATGCATGGCATAATACAGGATGCCACTTATTCGAGGTCAATCATGTTTTTTGACACGGTTATTTACATTTAAAAACGTGTGTCCGTGCAAATGCGACAAAGTCGAATATTTTTAGTTCTACAGCGAACAAATGTTTCCGAGCTGGTACCGAGCTAGATATTCAAGGTGCAGATCAGAAACAAAATTATGCAATGCATGGAACACATTAAATTAAATGGATCACTACTACCAAGTTCAGTTCACAATGACTTTCTGTAATTAATAGCTCTAACGTACAAGTTCTGAGCAAAAACACAAATAAGTCACGTTTTCATGAATTTGTAAGGTGGGGAATCGCTATGAAAATGGTTGTCAAGGTGTCAGTCGTTATAAGGATATAACAAGTGTTCCAGTTATGTTTCAAGATACTTCCTCCCTTATTTAGCATTGTTGTTTAGTTTATTATTTTCCTCTCAAATAGACCTAGTTATAGTAGAATTTTTTATTTACAATTTCAGACGAAAATCATAAACTAAACAACAATGCTAAATAAGGGAGGAAGTATCTTGAAACATAAATGGAGCACGTGTTATATCCTTATAACGACTGACACCTTGTCAACCATTTTCATAGCGATTCCCCACCTTACAAATTCATGAAAACGTGGCTTATTTGTGTTTTTGCTCAGAACAGGTACGTTAGAGCTATTTATTACAGAAAGTCGTTAGAGCTATTAATTACAGAAAGTCATTGTGAATTGAACTTGGTAATAGTGATCCATTTAATTTAATGTGTTCCATGTTTTGCATAATTTTGTTTCTGATCTGCACCTTGAATATCTAACTTTTCGAAAAACATAACATTTTGGCGTAAACAATCGAGTTACACGTACCTGCTCGGAAACATTTGTTCGCTGTAGAACTAAAAATATTCGACTTTGTCGCATTTGCACGGACACACGTTTTTAAATGTACATAACCGTGTCAAAACTCATGATTGACCTCGAATAAGTGGCATCCTGTATTATGCCATGCATACATGTGTATGATTCAATGGTCGGGCCTCATCCAAAATTCGAACATAAATATAGGAATCTACACGGAAGCCATAGGTGACACCTTAGCGATTACATTTATTACGCTATAGTCCGCTATAGTCGTTGAAAGGATATCACACTTTATTAGTTGTCTTCAAAAGGTATACA